CCTATTTCGAAAACACAGCCTTGTCGCATAGAAAAAAGCCGCCATATTCCCCTGGAAACAGGCCTGCGAGCTGCCTGATGTAAGCCCCCCCCCCCCCCCCCCCCCCCCACACACACACACACACACACACACACACACACACATCACAGTTCCCACAGCCAATAGGAAGACCTGGTCTCCTAGCAACAGTGCTCCTGTATGACAAGGCAGTTTATGTTACAATATTGAATTACAATTATATGGAAGCTCATGCCCGAAGGAATTATGTTTTGCTAATATGTGTACATTACTGCAGAATATTATTATTTTATGTGTAATTTAAGCCGTAGTTTGTCATGCTCATTGTATGACTTGAATGCTGCTTGTTGTTGATATAGAGAATGACATTTGTTTATTGCTTTGTTTATTTTCTGTGTATCTGAGGAGGTTTCCTCTCTATGGGGTTTTATCTGACTGGTCCGGATAACGTTTGTTTGTTTTTGCCATGTATGATTTGGTGATGAGATTACTGTCCTTCCTGCTTTCACGGAAACTGGACTAACCTATAGGTGAACCAGTGCTATAACCGCTTCAGTGGAATCGCCGGGAATGTTCTAGGGAAAATGACGTTTCTTCGATGTCTATTAAATTATTTGGCTGTTTTTATCCACAACTGGCTCCGCCTTAATGAGCCTGAGATGCGATAAAGTTTCAGTTGTCACAGTTTTTCTGCATTGAAGCTTTAATGTGATTGATAAAAATGGATAAGGCTAATTGTAAGAGAATTCAGTGGAATTTATAGATTTCAGTTTAGATAAAAACACTGCATTCAGACAGCTTCATATTGATGTATTTTCCCAGTTTAAATGGATAATAAAAAGTAGATTTTGAGAGAAAGCTTTGATATCACTCAGATTGCTGTGCTACTGCCTAAATCAATGAAGTCATTTTTCATGTCATAGTGAACGACAGGCATCTTCTATGGAAAGATGTTTGTTTCCAATGATGGATCAGTATCGGTGGTTTAGCACAAGAAGCCATAAAGATCATTGAAGGAAACTGTCTCACTTCACTTAATCATAACCACCCAAGAGCTGTTTATGCTCCTGATCGATCCTGGGAAGTGTAGAGAATGTGAATGTGTCTGGCAGAACATTTAGACGGGCTTCATCCTTGAAGTCCACATGATGGTCTTGATTTGCGTCTGTGGTGCTGAACTCTACATAGAGTCACACTCCTTACACAAGTCCTAGATCATGTGTCCTGAATCATTGCAATGGGTCGAACTCTCAGAACTGAAAATGTCTATTTTTACGCTTCTCCTGCATGCTGGCCGTTTGAGAGTCCGGGGCCACCTTGAGGTTGTAGGATGCAGGGCACTGGGGATGAGGCTTTCCGGCCCCCACTAGCAGATTCCACGGGACGTGCTCTCAGTGCGTCTGTCCTGATAATATCTCCCTTGGGGAAATGGTTAGTCTCCACCGGGGATGCAGTTAGACATTTTGTGCCCAATGAAAACATATCATTGGGGTGCCCCAAATTTTTTAGGTTCCCTGCCACTCAGGGGCCCTAGGAATTGCCATCCCCCCTCTATCACTGGCCTTCTCTGAACACGGGGCATGATCCTTTGTGATGATGTTCCTGCAACATCGGCGCTGATCCTGAAGGTCATTCCCTAGTGATTGATGGTTTCCGTAAGGGACACTATCACTCTATCTATCTATCTATCTATCTATCTAATCACACATCTATCTATCTATCTATCTATCTATCTATCTATCTAATCACACATCTATCTGTGTATCT